TGATTTGCAGGTGTGCTCTTTCACTCTGGATTTTAGCTTTCTGGTACCATTCTGTAACTCGCCTGTTCTTTGACGGTGTCTCATGGGCATCTTTCAGTGTCAAGACAAAGCTGCTTCTTTTCCCCCATCTTATTTCTTCCCACCCCCTTGCTTCTTTATGGCTCGCGGCATGGTGGCTGCACAAGGCTTTCTGAGCAGACCACAATGGGCTTCGGAGCATCCTCCCTTGGCGGGGAGCTGGTGAGGCACCCTGTGGGCCACTCCGGAGCAGAAGCAGTCATGGGGCCAGCGGCGTCTGCTCTGGGACGATGTGCAAATGCAAGCGGGTGCAGGAAGTGTCTCTAACCTGCCTACACTTCCTCTCTGAACCCTGCGGTTTCACAGCCCCTCGGGCACACTCCTCTTCCCTCCTCCCACCCAATGTCATCAGCCAGTGGCCCTGTGAGAAAGTTCCACTGCAGGAGGCCCTGGCATTATCATTTCCCTCTTCCGCCAGGTTTAGGCTGGCACCAAACCCAAAGGGCCTCTGAGGACCCCGCGCATCCACAGGTCCCTTCCGTGTGGTAAGATGGAGAATTCTCTGGTCGTTTCAGTGCGGCTTCTTCTGCTGTCTGCAACCTTTATCGTTGGTAAGAAAAGGGAAGGGGAAGGGAAAGGACATGTACCTTTGACCAGGGAAACTGCAGGGTTTGTGAAGCTGGCATAAAGATGGGGACTGGCCATAGGTGATGTGGGATTCAGAAATCCTGGCGGGAGAAACCGAGCCGGAGCCCACCTTTTGGGCAAAGTCAGAGAAGGAGAGAAAGGTGCAGTGCGGCAGGGGAAGTGGAGTCTTAAAATTTTAGGGCAAAGAGGCCAGGTGTGATGGCGTGCGCCTGCAATCCAAGTACTCTGGGAGGCTGAGGCAGGAGCATCACAAGTTTGGGCAGTTGCCCAATTTGGGCAATTTAACCAGACCGAAAAAACAAAGGACTTGTCTTAGGCCAATCCTTTCCACTTTCCCGGCCTCACTCACTTCATCCCAACACGTGGCAGCATGGTTCCCTGATATCCCAGGGTGCCGTGACCCACATCGGATGACTGAATGGCCAGAGGGCAGGAGGAGTTTGGAGGTTTCCGATGTTGGCCAGGTCGCCAAGAGCGGTAGGGTCAGGGGGCTGAGATCTAAGGTCGGGGTTCAGCGAGACGTCCTGGTGGGGAACCGCGGCTGGACCCTCCGGTGAGCAGCAGCGGGGCCGGGGCCTGGCACCCCGAGGCTGGGCAGTGCCACGGGGAAGTGGGCGCCCCGTGGGATTCCTGCCTGGAGACCGGGCCGCCAGTTCTCCGGGCCTCCGCCTCTGCCCTCGAAAGGGAAGTGGCGTCCCCGCTGCGGAAGGGAGCGAGCCGG